AACATGGAATGTTACACAGCAAGTTTGGTTAGTTATGTTACGTTATTTTTTTAGAACAGTTTCATTTCATTATTGTTTCTTGATACTGAACAATATATTACCGTATTTGTCAGCTGATATGTTTCAATTTGTTAATATCGATATATCGAGAGAAAAATCATCGATAATAATGAATGTTCCCTTTAACAGGAAAGTTCCTAGATTTCTCATAAAAAAAAAACGTGCACATAGGTGGTGCCTATGGATCAGCTGGAGACAATTTTATTGTTAGTTCCGTTTGGTGCACTGTAGGGTTCGTGTTTCGTTGACAATTTGTTTCTTGTTATTTCAGTCATTTCTTGTCCAACCAAACAAAACGATCTAATCATAAACAATAACTGTCCCCTAGTTTTATAACCAAACATTAAAGCACAAATCTCGAAATTAACTCTAAAATAATAGAATAGCTATCTACCTTAACCTTACAAGTGTAGTAAGAGCGTTTTTACATTATACAGGTGAATGTTGTACAACGAGCGGAAGCAAGTTGCATAATTTACCTAAGTGATGTAAACACGCTCTTGCGTAACGTGTAACGTACAAGATTTTACCTCACCCGACAATATACAGGGGGTTACGTACAATATTTTTCATTATCCATTTCACTCATCTTCTAAAAGTAACGTTCTTTTACAAACGAAAGCTAGGTTAGGATAATTCTTTATAGCATAACAATAAAATTCAAGCCCACAGCTGATTTCTAGCGTTGAACGTTGTTGGCTCCATAGAGGTATATTTCTTAAGTTGAGCACTCAATGTTATTTAAATAGGCTTCATTACTTAACTAGTGAGTTTTTTAAACTTTAGTTCACTCGTGAAGTAAAGAATTTGTTTACATCACGCTTGGAATAGGGAAGTTTAACATGGCGGGTTGGGTAAAGATACTAACCAAAACCAGTGATAAAAAAATTACATGTTCTAGAACTTTTATGCTTTACTCATTACAGTAGTTAAAGTCAGTGTTGTGCAATGGAATAAATGTTTGCTTATTATATAGTGTGTAAATTAAGTCTTGAAACAAATCTGTATTTTTTAAGCCGAAACAGATAGAAATATTCTGTTTGTGGCCTTGATTGTCAACAAAGGTTCCATAAATTTTTACATGAAAAATATTTGTTTACCCCCCTAACAGGGTAGGGGGAAGGGGGTGACTTATTTGTTTCTAATAGCAATCCCTCATTTTGAAGGATTTGTCAAAGAAACACAATGACGCAAGCCCGAGGTGGATATCTCATCCCTAGGCAAAATGGCAGGTATTCCAAAATTTGATTTACTGTATGTTAAAAATCACCAATTTCACAAATATGGAATGAAATCTGTATTTTTAATCGAAATAGCCCAGATAGAAATATTCTGTTTGAGGAATTGATTGTTAACATAGGTTCCAAAATTTTTTATATCAACAATATTTTTAACCCCTTTAACAGGTTAGGGGGTGGGGGTGGCTTATTTTTTAATGATTTAAACCTTTTTTTATAACGATATGAGGGTGTTGCTGAATGCACAATGTCCAATTATATAAGTCAGTGTCACAACGTCCAAAATATCATTTTTGAGCTGTCTCAAGACGTCCAATATAAACTATTCGACTGTTGCACAACGTCCAAATATCACCATGTCCAAAAGTACAGCAACTGCAAGAAACCAAGTCTTTCTACAAGCTTTGGTCATGGGATTGGTCGTCGTGAAACAGGGCAGTTTACACTCTTAGGGATGTCGTGTGACAGCGCTGAGCTATTGGAAGATGTGCAACTGGCAGCGGCTTTGGACGTGGTGCAGCTGCTACTTAAGAGTGTAAACTGCCCTGTTTCACGACGACCAATCTCATGACGCCCAGAGCTTGTAGAAATACTATGTTTATAGTAGTTACTGTACTTTTGTACATAATGAGATTTGGACGTTGTGCAACACAGTCAAATATTTTATATTGGATGTCGTGTGATACCGTAGCTCAAGAATTATATTTTGGACGTCATGCCACTGACTTATATCATTGGACGTCGTGCAATGCATCTAACGATACTAACTTTAAATTTTTAAACTATTAGTATCTTTAAACAACACTTTTGATTATGTAATTTCTGTATTAGTCACAACCATATAATTTATCGCTGTTCCTTTCTTTGACTATACTACCAATGAATTAAAAAACATACCCAAAATTTTTATGCCTAGACCCTTGAAAATAGATCTCTCTGATCTTTCTACGACCTTATGACGCTCACAACTTTTTTGCTAAAATTGGGCTTACATTAATAAATAATTAGATATGGTCACAACAGTTTTGCAAATAACTTATGTTTTATGCATACAATAGAATGATAGTATCACCTTTTATAAAATCTTTTAATCTTATATAAAAGAGTAGTTATGAATAAGAATGTTATCAACGGGGCCGGAAGGCAGAAAATAAGACTGGTCTACGAAGAAAAAATTCACCCATATTTAATCATGGGTTAAATTCAAGTATCAGGTAAGATATTAAAATAATTACTGCTTGCTAAACCAACAGCGTTCCATTATTTTGTTTCCCCAGGTAACTAAAACTATTCAGCTTGGCTTTCCTAATGTACTTAATGTACTAATATACTTCACAAGTATTTGCTTGTATGTATGTAACTGCATATAATAAAGTAAATTTCAAGGCAGAATACATCTATAATCTTTAATAATGAACAACATTGATTACTGTACCTACTAAACTAAGTTTGGGTTAGGTTAGTTTATAGCTTTACTCACACTTTTTTTTATTTACTGAAAAAACTGTGGTTTTATCCAGTTTAAATAGTGGCAGCCCACCTCTGAAAAAGACCGAGGATCTGTTTCCAAGAACTGAAGTTGTCTCAAATCCTTAATAGTCACTCTTAATCAGTAACTTAAATAGTCACTTGATGGTCCGGACTTTTCTCAAATTTGGCCTTCCGTTTGCCCGCATAAGCCAGATTATGGAGGGACACTTACATTATATTCTTGTCAATCACATATAATAACTAATCTTTTATTTTCTTGTGTTCTTAAAATTGTGTTTATGTATTATGAAATCAGTATAAATAAAGACAATCCCAAGCAATTTAATTGGCACTTGACTCCTCAAAAATGAAAAGCTTATTCACATTAATCTCAAACAACTTTACTTGACAAAATGCGAGCATGATTTCCATATTAGACCACTTATTTCTTTAGCTGTGTTTCTTGTAACAATGCATGTGCATGAGTATTTTAGATTTCATGCAGGCCTACTATGGCATCAACAAACATTTTTTTAATATTCCATCTATTTACTCCTATTTATATTGTCTATCCTTTAAAGCTGGGGAATTTAGCAGTGAATATCACCAGCTAGGCCTAGAGAAGATACAAATACAGTATGTGGCATAGTACACTAACATACATTTACTATAAAAACTACCATTGGCGCCCACAAGAGGATACACATGCACCCCCTGGCCAAAAAAATAAGGAATAAATTTAATATCCAAAATGTTCTGTAATCACTTTTATTAATCAACAGTGGGTTTTAAGAAATGTATAAAACTACGATTCATAATGGTCGTTTCTAAAAATAAATAGATAATGAAATATCAGATAATTTTTTTAAAGTTTGATGAAGTAGTTTTTTTTTTCATCGTGATAAAATGTATCGTTCAAAACTCGTCATGAAAGTCCCATTTTTGGGCGAGATTGTGTTTTACATGCTCGTCTTCGACTTTTGATTCGCATGTAAAACACTATCTCACCCGGAAATGGGTCACTTTCGTGACTATAGTAGTGAAATATGCTATTACTCACATATGTACCATTCATATAACAGAACATAAACTTTCATGGTTGTTATCTAGGCTTTATTCAACTGTAAATTTAATTTTCTTTTTAATTTTTTGGCTTGTGGATTTAACCATATAAATTAAACATAACTAAAATTCAAATAGCTTATTGGTTTTTAATGTTGGAATACAAATTGATGACTTACTCTCCTTTATGCACAATAAACTATTTTGTTTTGGTTGATTCTATGTGTTACCGAATACCGTAAAAATACATTTTAAAACACTATATTTTCACCAATTTTCCTGGGGGAGGCCCCGGACCCCCCAGATGTTTGTTATACATAGCACCCCCCTGTTCCAAATCCTGCGGGTGCCCATGAAAACTATTACTATAAACAAATTAGAATAAAACAAGGGGACCCGTGCATAAATTGCTCATTTTTATACTGATTCTTCTGAAAAAGAATAATGCAATTTCCTTTTAAAACTACTAATTTACAATAACATTTTTTTTTTTAATTTTACACCTACACCTGTGTTTTACCTATTAGAGTGATTTACCTACCTCAATCAGGTTACCATATAAAAAAGTGACCTATTTAAAATCCATGTTCATGAACTGGTTTATATATTGTTTCCAATCTGACTATGGTTAAACATTTGACTGAGCAATCTGCTATTAAAATAAAATTCACATTTTTATTTTGAATGTTTTCTAAGTCTGGCATTTTTACCTTTTGAAAGGGACTCTGGTTCAAACCCAGGTCTTGTTACTCAACACACAAACTCAGTCTTTCCAAAACTTACTATATAACGTCGACCTATAAACAAATTTGAATGAATAGTATTTTTGGCCACTGAGGACCGGAAGAGTAAACCGGTCCCAAGTCTAGTCTTTTGTGCTGCCTACAGTAATAAAACAAAAACATTTTGGTTGAAACTGTTTATTCAAATTTGTTATACTAATCAACACATTTATATATCAAGTCTCAAATTTCTATAATAATTTATTACAATTATGAATCAAATTTCCATAAATTTACGTTGTTAAGTCACTTTATTACTCTCTGCATATTTTCTGGTTGGAGGCTGTCCATCTAACTGATTTGGAATGTGGATGGGTGTTTTCTCTACTAACAGTTATGCGTTGTTAGTTCAATGAGTTCAATTTTGAAAGTATGTTCTGGATTTCAGTGCTCGGAAACGGCCAATTCCCTACCACAGACCTACACCTCCAACACCCTCTAGTGTGAGTAGCTGGTCGTCTCGTAGCGGTCGTAGCTGGAGCCGAAGTCCATCTCCACCCAGCCCAACGTACTCTAAATAAAGCTTCAACACTCTTAGATATGGGCCATATCTCAATTCATTATGTATCAATCAGCAATGTCACAAATCAAACCACACGGACCAAACACAAGAGTCGATGGAAACTGTTTGGTTAAAAGCTTGAATTAAGTTTATATAAGCTGCTTCAGAGCTTCAAAGTAATTATTAATATGAAATCTGTTTTCATATTATATTATTCTATTTAGTAGGTCTGATTTAATAGGTAGGCCTACTTGCTTGTTTTTCTAAGTACTAGTTTCATGTTAGCAGTAAAAGAACCTCTTCAGAAAAAACTACAAAATCTCTTAGTCATATTTGAATATAATAATTATTACCTGGTTTAGCCTACTTACATTATTGTAGTTCCGAAGAACATAATATTGACAAAATATCTATCTGCTTTACATTAGTTTACATCTAATCATCAACTAAAGTAGTTGATTAAACTATGATGCTCTGCAGCAATTAATTATAAGGCCAAGACTTGATTGAGGACATTTAATTTGTTCAAGGACTTTTTGCAAATTTTTGAATCGTCAAAAATAAAAGACACTACCAAACAAATACTAACACTGTTTAGTGTTTTCTGTATTTTATAATTATGCAATTGTGGGAAATAGGTTAAAAAGGATGGTGGAGGGTGGAGATATGGAGCACAGTACAGGCCTATCTTAGTACTAGTACCTATAGATCTGATAATCACAAAACATCTAGCCTCCTACTTTGATAGGTTTACACTTATAATAAGGTGTAATTGGTTTTGAAGAAATCAATAAACCTCATCTGGAAAAGAATAAATTCTCATGAAATATACTTGTGACTAAAGTAAATTAATTAACTGAATAGTGAATATAAATACAAAACCACAAATGGTAGGTATTAAAAGACAAAGATATTTTGTTTAGATTATCCCCTAAGACTTACAATGAGATGTTGGGCTTAATTGTTCCAAACTCGGACTGTACTGTACTTTTTGATTAAAGTTACATTCCATTAAGAAAGTAGTTACGTGATTCGGCTAATATAGTATATTGAAAAAACAAAATTATTGTTGGAGGTACAAAAATCTAACTTCTTGTTGTTATTATTGATGCAACCAAAGTATGCATAGTGTAGTATATTATGTAGATATTTTTGTTTATCTTGTTGTACAAGTTTGAACTGGTCACCTATGGCATTCCTTGACTGTGAATATTTTATAAAGCTTGTGTATATTTTTGCTAGTCATAAGTTCTAGTCGTAAATATTAGGGGAATAAATATTTAAATATTTATCAAGCTTTCAAGATGATCTCGTTTGTTAGGTGTAGAAATGATTAATGTATCTTTAGTAGTTAACTATTTTTTTTTTTCGGTAGCATGATTTTTATTGTTTAGTTTTATTTTATTGTTATTTTTCATTCCTATATTATGTGATATTACTTTACATTATTATTTTTATTGTAAATAGATAAATTTATTTATCTCTAATAGTCAAAGCTATAACGTATTTAGTATGATGCTTAGTTTTATTTTAGAGCAGGCCTTACAAATATTTTAATTTTTAACCTAATTATGCAGTTAGTTATACTGTAATGGGCTGTAGGAATAACCTTTTGATATTAAATTATATTCCGTAAAAACTTGTTATTTATTTATTTTATTTTATTAATGTACAGTAATTTATTTGTGTGGGTTTGCATTTGCACCTATTAGTGATGATTTCTTGTAAATTGTAAATAACTGTAAAGGAAAAGTCCTGAAGGTTCATTTTGATGAGATGTTTCCATAATATTCTTTACCATAAAAATTGTTACCTATTTTAATTTGCTAGCTCATTCTTTAATAACTGTGATAATTGAAACAGCTCATAATCAGTATCATAAACCAACCCTACACACACATGCTTTTGAGAAGTTAAAACCGGTATCCCTTAACATTAACTTTTTTTCTTATATAAAATTTTTTTAATTAAAGAGGTTATCAAACCGTTATTTAGTTGGTTAAAATTGATTGATTGTTGAAGCAACATACTATGTGTACGCTCATTCTTCCCGTACATTGGGACAAAACGAAGACAGGGAATAAGGATGATTCTGTCCCAGACAATCTCATTACGGTACTAAATCTTTTTTGTAATACATATTTTTATCATTTCTCGTCCAAGCAGGCTTTCATACTTTTAATGTAACGGCTCATAGTTGAATTGGGAAAAAACTCAATAATAGTTTAAACAAATTAATTACAATATTTTGTATTTTGAAGAAGATTAAGTTCTGTAATTTTTTTGTATAATTAGCAGAGTTTGTATTAATAAATAAATCACAAATTTACGGAGGGAGTAAAAGTAAAATAAAACAAAGGTCATTAAACTTAAATTTATTATTTTAAACCTATAAAAATCACCAGATTTTTCTTTACAACATATAGACATGTTATAATCACACAGATCTAAAAACCACTTTAGCACGTCATTTTTTTAGCAATAAATTAACAGAATTTTTATACAAGAGCTTAAGGGGGAAAGTGTTGTTATACGTGTTATCATTATAATTCTTCAAGTTTGTTTGGGCAACGAGTTTATTGGTCTAGTATACAGATGAACCGTCAGGGCTTGTTAGATGTATGTGTTATTGTGTTATTATCTAATTAATTTCTACATTTCTAAAGGCAATGCCTCATTGTCAGAGTCAAATCTAGTCATTAGGTTAAGCTATGATTGTAAGCTAAAGCTAGTCACGTTAACCACGGAGACTTATTTATGTGATATGTAAAAACTATACAAATAATTTCAACATTCTGTGCAATCGTAAAATTTATTGTTTTGTGTTGTTCTGTGTTCATCTAAAATATAGCGTAATTTATTAAACTTTGTATTGGTAGTTTTTTTTTCTTAATGCAGTGTTTGTTTGTATTAAGTTAAGTTAGCTTTAAGTATGTATTCTAGTCTATAAACAATCACCTATAAAAGGCGGTCTAGTCTACTTTAATCACTACATACTGATATTGTTAATATACGTTAAGAGATTTCATAGCATTTGTTTCAAATGTATTCAATGTTGAAATAACTATTATTTCTATAAAAATTGGGTTTGTTTATACTTTGCATTCTATTCTCCAAGCATCGAGACTCATATTCTTATACTTATTGATATTAAAAGAAGATTTAATATTTACACTCTCTAGATCATAGTAATTTAAATTATTGGCCGATTGCTCATCTTGCTAGGTTATAAATCACTGAATCGCTTTTCCCTTGGTTTATTATTTAATATAACTTTCTATAAACTAACATGTTTTTTTTTTATTCTAATTCACTCTAAGTAGTACCAGTAGTACTGTAACGCAATATTTTTTAATAGACAATTACAAAGCTTTTTCAGTGAGCAAATATGATACTTTCTTTGATAATACTTAATTCAGCAAATTGTCTAACAATAAGGACGATAACCCACCAATTTTAGAATAATTCAATGTAACATAGTGTTAAGTAAGTGTGATAGGTACTTTATAGAATTTTGAATTATCTTTGTTGTTTCGTAACGTAATACAAAGTATGTTTGTTAAATTGCCATTGTGCTATTTTAAAGTGACTTCCTTACATAACCTTTTTAGTGATTTTGCAAATCGTTTTCAATAACAATAACAACATTGTGTGTAATAGTTAACTAACAATCCACTATCATAACAGACAACAGAACATATATTTTTAATTGTCTTTATTAAACACCAACCAATGATTTATCATGAGGAGGCTTATTTTCAGATAATTCTTATGTTAGGGTCCAAGTTCCCAGCATTTAAAACATAATCTAAACTTCTTGTTATCTTGTACGGTATAGTCATCATTATCTAAAAGTGGAAGATTTATACAAAATTTTGGGTCTTAAACCGGTAATGAGTTTTAGACTACTTGGTATGTTTTACACTTTCCCTATTTTTTATTTATTGATTAAAGTTTCTTTGATATGCCCCTACAATAAGTAACAAGAATAGTTTAAAGAAACAAAGCTTCACTCCAGCAGTGCTTAGTAATGATATTGTAACAAATAGTGTGTTGTGCCAGTAATAAAATAAGTTATAGAATATTTAATGGAATCTGTTTAACTGTTAACAATGCCACATTTTGAACATTACATTAGATTATTAACACAAGTTTTCAATACCATGATAGTAATGCTTGCTATATATATTTTTTGACATATTATGTCATTGCTTAAAAAGTTAAACCGTCATCAGGTATCACTTATTTTTCCTTGTACCTGGGCAAAAAATACAATACACATTAAACAGTGCTTTATAAGCCAAGCATATTTTTTAACAAATATGATCTCCTTTAATTTTCTCTCATTAGTTAGGTAATAGGAGGTTTTTGTTTACCTACACTAGCGTCTAAAATACTCAATGCATACCATAATTTTGCTGTTATTTTTACACTATTTATTGTAGGATATAGTTTTTATTTATTGTCTTATTTATTATAAATTATTAATTGTTGTAAGTTTGATGTGTCATAGTGAAATAAATGAATTCCAAACAAGACTGGATTTTTTTTTTAACATCACAGTTTGTCCTTTACCTCATTTTACATAGTTGGTTTCAATCTATAGGGGAGGGTGGGCTACAATGGAACAAACATTACAAAACAATTTTTGTTTTTTTACCTGTTACCTGTGGTTAAAAGCTTCAGAAGATAAATGTACTTAGAGAACAACATTTCCCGCATACATTACATATATTTTAAAATTGATAATTAAATGGGAACTTATTTTTATGGACTGTTTTACAAAACCTATCTAGGTGTTCCAACCTAACCTAACAATGAAAATCAATGCAAATGCAAAACAACAACCTAACAATACAAAAATAAGATACAATAAATCTTGTTTATTCATAACAAATAGTGTCATGTAAATACTAACATTTTCAAATGGTTCTACTCGTAATTAGTTTACAGTAAAGCAAGTAAAAAATTAACTTTCTTCCTCTTGACATAGTGATCTGTAAAAGAACAGCCATTAAAGACTTTGTTTTATTGATCAATCTCCAAAAAGGATAATTTAATGGAAAAACCCCCATAATTGGGTTTCAAACTAATAAATTAATACCATTTTTATAATAGGTAATATTTTTTTCCTACAGTCACCCGACAAAGTTGGCTTCCTTGTACTGTTTATAGTACAGAAAGCTTCTAATTGCTGCATATTTATACTTTGCCGTACGGTTTATACTTTGCCGTACGGTTTATACTTTGCCGCACATCAGGATTCCAACGAAACAACACAAAACAGCGTGGTTCTATTATACACGTAATCCGTGTACGCTTGGAAATAGGTTGGCAACACTTTAAGATAAAAATACTATGAGCAGCTGATTGACTATTATAACTACGATTTAACTGTCATTTCGTGTTTATAGTTTCGGTATTTCTGAACTTTCTGGACTTTTCTTTTAAACGTTTTTAAAACATCCCTACTATCTTAATAAACAAGAAAATACCTTTAAAGCATTTTTTTTAGGCACGGAAACCACTTCAAATTACAAAATCATACGGAACTATATTCTCAAAACGCGGAGCACAATTCTTGCCGAGGAAAAATAGCGGAGTGATACGGACCGTGGGTACTACTTTCTCTAGGGCACCTATTTGTGTTGCCAGCTGAACCTAAAAACGTGTTGTATAGTGTTTGAAAGACTAATTAACTAATTATTTATATGCTTTATAGGGACTGTAGGAAAAATATAATGTGTAACACGAGTGAAAAAGGCCTTTGCTGCACTCGAGATCATTCCACACTCGCCTGCGGCTCGTGCGTAAACATTGCTCTCGTGTGCAGCAAAGTGCCACTTTCACCACTAGTTACACAAATAACTATTTCTACAATAAAACACATGATGTTTGGTCACAATGGAACAGTTCCATTGTGGCCCAGCATCAACTGTTTCATGGTGGCCCATGTCTGTTTGATCAGAAAAACTAACCCTAATTGCCTAATTCCACTTCAGAACTTTGTAGGAATATGGAATATGCTAACTAGTCTAAAAGTTTTAGAAAGAGTTGTTCTTTTGTTATTTATACTGGTATGTGACACTTTATCTCTAATAACTGCAAATAGAAGTTAAAGTTGTGAAGACATAACCTGGCAAAATATAATATGATATGAATGGTAAAATATAAATATAATGACCTTACATGGAGGTAGCCATTTGCACCAATGAACTATGGGAGGACAAACAGTTTTGGTGTTTCAATGTAGCCCACCCTCCCCTACAGTAATTACTACGCCAACACGAAATTTGTGGACTGAACTCCTCCGCCATTTCTAGTTAATTATAAAATTAATTTTAAAATGTTTTAATTATTAAATTAAACTGTCATAACCTAACCAAACTAACCAAACGTGCTGATAATGCAAAAATCGAATGAAGGTTTACTAATCCAAAAAAATAGTTTTTCCTACAGTTACCTAACAATGTACATGTTCTCTCACTGATTAGAGAAAGCAAAGTGGCCAATTCGCTAATCAGTGAGACAATGTTAACATTGTCTCACTCTAATTACTTTGTCTCGCTCCAGATTTGCAACGTGAAGGCACGAAATAGTGAGTGCGTAACATGCAGGCAACGTCGTATGCGCGCGAAATACGTTGGCAGCACTGGCTGTAAATCAGCTGGTCAGCTGTTGTACTGTTGTATTTGTCACTTCACATTAAATGTTATATTAAAAGTTCACTTCTGTGTAAAAATAGGTTATGTTTTTTCACAAATTTATTTGTTCCATATGGTAACTGTAGGAAAAGTATAATGTGCAACTCGAGTTCAAAGTACAATTGCCTCACTCGATAAACCATTGTGAGTAAGGATTTCTCTCGAGTGAGTCAATTGCTCACTTTTCTCACTAGTTGCACAAATAACTATTTTTTCATATCAGCAAGGTTGGTTGGTTTGGTTAGGTTATGATCATAACCTAACCAAACCAACGCAGGTCTGTATTCTCCTCTGATGAAACTGCTAAACATACGACGATCAGCTCTCACTGTTCCTGAAGACTGAAGTCCAAATTTCCTCAACTCCTCGACTAATTCCGCCTTCTTGAGGGTATAGATCCAACCTGTCCTCGGGTTCTTCTTTTCTTCCTCGACTATACTTCCGTTGTCCGATTCACTGTCAGACGGCATTTTTCTATTCTTCAATAACGTAGTACTATTTACAATATTTACAGATTCCGGGTCTTCTTTACCCTTTTCAAAAAATTCCACTAAAGTCTTCACTTTGGTCCCTGTTCGGGCGCCAAAATCTTGTGCGGAAGATTCCTCCAGAACCCTAGGCCTTATCAAGGGTGGTAAGGGTCGATAAGTGAAAGACTCTGGGTATCTCAAACTTCCATTTTATTCCCTGATATCCTTATCCTAACACATATGTTTATATATACAATATTATATACAGTCTTGATCCTGGGTCCGTAGTCCTCCTACCAGGCAGTGTCTCCGGGCTCGTATTCAGGGGTTGGGCAGAGGTTGGATCAAGTCTTGCTTGCGCCCTTACTGGCCCGGTGGTCTACGACACTCCTAAAAGATATCCGTGTGGGTCCGCGGTCTAGATCCTTGGCACCTTCACCCCGGAATCCTCGGCCCCCTAGCTGCTGCTCTCCACTGGAGACGGTTCTGGCTTTCCAAGCACAGAAGTCAAGCTGGGCCGGTTTAATGTGCTACTGCTCTCCACTGGAGACGGTTCTGGCGTCACTTGCTCAGAAGTTAGCACTCTCTAGGCAGTCTACTCGGTCTGCAGTCCGACTTAAACTCCTTCAACACTTAGCGTATACCTATGTATATGCTTTAAAGGTGGTGGGGGACTCCAAAGTCCTCCCCTCCACCTACGACTACGGACCCGCGGGCTCAACACGCCCATGCGAGGGTGTCGGTGGCTCAACACGCCCGTCCGACAGTGCTGGTGGCTCAACACGCCCGTCCAGCGGTACCCGTGGCTCAACACGCCCATCAGGTGTCCCGCGGGCTCAACACGCCCATGCGGGGTGTCGGGGGCTCAACACGCCCATCCGACGGTGCTGGTGGCTCAACACGCCCGTCCAGCGTACCTGTGGCTCAACACGCCCGTCAGGTAACTCGCGGGCTCAACACGCCCATGCGAGGGTGCCGGGGGCTCAACACGCCCGTCCGACGGTGCCGGGGGCTCAACACGCCCGTCCAGCGTACCCGGGGCTCAGCACGCCCATCAGGTGTCTCGCGGGCACAACACGCCCATGCGAGGGTGTCGGGGGCTCAACACGCCCGTCCGACGGTGCCAGGGGCTCAACACGCCCGTCCAGCGTACCTGTGGCTCAGCACGCCCATCAGGTGTCTCGCGGGCTCAACACGCCCATGCGAGGGTGCCGGGGGCTCAACACGCCCGTCCAGCGTACCCGTGGCTCAACACGCCCGTCAGGTAGCTCGCGGGCTCAACACGCCCATGCGAGGGTGCCGGGGGCTCAACACGCCCGTCCAGCGTACCCGTGGCTCAACACGCCCGTCAGGTAGCTCGCGGGCTCAACACGCCCATGCGAGGGTGCCGGGGGCTCAACACGCCCGTCCGACGGTGCCGGGGGCTCAACACGCCCGTCCAGCGTACCCGGGGCTCAGCACGCCCATCAGGTGTCTCGCGGGCTCAACACGCCCATGCGAGGGTGTCGGGGGCTCAACACGCCCGTCCGACGGTGCCCGGGGCTCAACACGCCCATCAGGCCCCACACCGGTGGCTCAGCATGCCCATCCGGCGGGGTCGGGCCCGAAGGCCCAACTGACTTCTCGGTGCCAAACACCCTGGTTAAGTACCCGCCGAATGGTACCCAAGTGGTGGGGGGTGAGTACCTTACCTCCCCTTCGGAGCATCTTTCCCCTCCTTTGGAGTCATTTTGATGTCTGCGAGTGCCTCTGTATCTTTAACCTAAAAATTCTCTTGGGAGTCAAAAACACTTCTTTACACTCTCCCTTTTCTTCCCAACGAGGAAAAAAAATTCTATAATTCCTTTTTACAACACACCATCTCAATGAAAACTAGATTTTTTAAAAGGGGGAAAAAATTCTCTTGGTCATTAGCCAGTTTTTAAAAGTGACCACAAAAATAAAACTAACACTGAAGTAACTGACTCTTGAAACGAAATGAAGATTCTTCTAACAAAACTTAAAACTGTCTCTTAGTATTTTAAACAGATGAAAAACAAATAAAAATATCCTTTTTTGTAATTGGTCTTTCCTATTACCTACTGTCGAGGACTGGGTGGCCTTTGTCTCTCTGGTTCTCTTCTGTAGTTTATTGCTCTAGAACAGCTACAGTTCCCTGATCTACCCTCGGCTCCACAAAACCTACACGAGGACGGTTTCTTAGGGAGATGACAATCCCTGAATAAGTGACCTGGCTTATCGCAATTATAGCACCTAAGCCTTGAATCTCGTTGCCCATAGCCATGGCGGTTGTCTCTGTGATCATAACTTTGAGGACGGTACTCATCACTCTGTTTTTGAGGTCGACTGCTCGTGGGCCATGGGTGTTTTTCTCTACTCTTATATGCTATGTCCGGATACATGGATTGTGCAGCGTTCATGGGAGGGCGAAAATTGTTGGCTGATTGTTTGATCGACTCGTACTCCTTTGCAGCTGTCATTAGTTCATCAATAGTTTTTATCTCCCATCCGATACCGTATAGCTTATACTCTGGGAGCATGTTTTCGTAAATCTGATGAAATTGTTGCTCGGAAGAATATTTTCCGTGTCGCCGCATCAGGGTCTGAACACTGATTGCGTAGTCATTAAATAGTTCATTTTGACCTTGAGTACGAGCTCTTATTTCGGAATCCAATTTTTCCCTGTAACGCTGGGGCAGAAATTGGTTTTCTAGATGGACTAGAAATTCACCCCAAGTGTTCCAATAGGACTTGTAGTTCCGGTACCAGAGAAGCGCCTTTCCTTTGAGCAACTCTGGGAGAGCAGGTAATAATTGGTCTTCATCAATACTGTAGGCTTCTCTCATTTCATTTACTCGTTCCAAAAAGAGAACTACGTCCTTATCCCCATCAAAGCAAAGGTTCCACTTTCGGACTGTATTGCATACATTAATATTTTCTAAATATTTGTGACTCACCATTTTGGAATCATCTTTGGTTGGTGATTTCATTTCTGTAGTCTCTCTAGACAATCCTGGTGGTGGGGTAGCTAACGCAGGTCTGTATTCTCCTCTGATGAAACTGCTAAACATACGACGATCAGCTCTCACTGTTCCTGAAGACTGAAGTCCAAATTTCCTCAACTCCTCGACTAATTCCGCCTTCTTGAGGGTATAGATCCAACCTGTCCTCGGGTTCTTCTTTTCTTCCTCGACTATACTTCCGTTGTCCGATTCACTGTCAGACGGCATTTTTCTATTCTTCAATAACGTAGTACTATTTACAATATTTACAGATTCCGGGTCTTCTTTACCCTTTTCAAAAAATTCCACTAAAGTCTTCACTTTGGTCCCTGTTCGGGCGCCAAAATCTTGTGCGGAAGATTCCTCCAGAACCCTAGGCCTTATCAAGGGTGGTAAGGGTCGATAAGTGAAAGACTCTGGGTATCTCAAACTTCCATTTTATTCCCTGATATCCTTATCCTAACACATATGTTTATATATACAATATTATATACAGTCTTGATCCTGGGTCCGTAGTCCTCCTACCAGGCAGTGTCTCCGGGCTCGTATTCAGGGGTTGGGCAGAGGTTGGATCAAGTCTTGCTTGCGCCCTTACTGGCCCGGTGGTGTACGACACTCCTAAAAGATATCCGTGTGGGTCCGCGGTCTAGATCCTTGGCACCTTCACCCCGGAATCCTCGGTCCCCTAGCTGCTGCTCTCCACTGGAGACGGTTCTGGCTTTCCAAGCACAGAAGTCAAGCTGGGCCGGTTTAATGTGCTACTGCTCTCCACTGGAGACGGTTCTGGCGTCACTTGCTCAGAAGTTAGCACTCTCTATGCAGTCTACTCGGTCTGCAGTCCGACGTAAACTCCTTCAACACTTAGCGTATACCTATGTATATGCTTTAAAGGTGGTGGGGGACTCCAAAGTCCTCCCCTCCACCTACGACTACGGACCCGCGGGCTCAACACGCCCATGCGAGGGTGTCGGTGGCTCAACACGCCCGTCCGACAGTGCTGGTGGCTCAACACGCCCGTCCAGCGGTACCCGTGGCTCAACACGCCCATCAGGTGTCCCGCGGGCTCAACACGCCCATGCGGGGTGTCGGGGGCTCAACACGCCCATCCGACGGTGCTGGTGGCTCAACACACCCGTCCAGCGTACCTGTGGCTCAACACGCCCGTCAGGTGACTCGCGGGCTCAACACGCCCATGCGAGGGTGCCGGGGGCTCAACACGCCCGTCCGACGGTGCCGGGGGCTCAACACACCCGTCCAGCGTACCTGTGGCTCAACACGCCCGTCAGGTGACTCGCGGGCTCAACACGCCCATGCGAGGGTGCCGGGGGCTCAACACGCCCGTCCGACGGTGCCGGGGGCTCAACACGCCCGTCCAGCGGTACCCGTGGCTCAACACGCCCATCAGGTGTCTCGCGGGCTCAACACGCCCATGCGAGGGTGCCGGGGGCTCAACACGCCCGTCCGACGGTGCCGGGGGCTCAACACGCCCGTCAGGTAGCTCGCGGGCTCAACACGCCCATGCGAGGGTGCCGGGGGCTCAACACGCCCGTCCGACGGTGCCGGGGGCTCAACACGCCCGTCCAGCGTACCCGGGGCTCAGCACGCCCATCAGGTGTCTCGCGGGCTCAACACGCCCATGCGAGGGTGTCGGGGGCTCAACACGCCCGTCCGACGGTGCCCGGGGCTCAACACGCCCGTCCAGCGTACCCGGGGCTCAGCACGCCCATCAGGTGTCTCGCGGGCTCAACACGCCCATGCGAGGGTGTCGGGGGCTCAACACGCCCGTCCGACGGTGCCCGGGGCTCAACACGCCCATCAGGCCCCACACCGGTGGCTCAGCACGCCCATCCGGCGGGGTCGGGCCCGAAGGCCCAACTGACTTCTCGGTGCCAAACACCCTGGTTAAGTACCCGCCGAATGGTACCCAAGTGGTGGGGGGTGAGTACCTTACCTCCCCTTCGGAGCATCTTTCCCCTCCTTTGGAGTCATTTTTATGTCTGCGAGTGCCTCTGTATCTTTAACCTAAAAATTCTCTTGGGAGTCAAAAACACTTCTTTACAACTGAATGTCAAAGCTGCGTGTCGCCAGCCGCCATGTTTGCGTGAGGTGGGTGTCCATAAGAAGCCATGTTATTGCTATGACAAAAAAACTCACTGCTATACAACCTAGTTATAAGAAGCCATGTTATTGCTATGGTAAGAAAACTTACTGCTATACCAACCTAACAAAATCAGCGACTCGCTTTTGACAGACTTCTGCCATGGCAATGCTACCTCCAGTTATAATTTTAGCTCAGTGTTTCGTGCCTTCACGTTGAAAATCTGGAGTGAGACAAAGTAATTAGAGTGAGACAATGTTAACATTGTCTCACTGATGAGCGAATTGGCCACTTTGCTTTCTCAAATCAGTGAGAGAACATATACATTGTTAGGTAACTGTAGGAAAAAATTGTTGTCAAAAAGTTAGTGCTGCCAGCGGGATCCGAACCCAGTATCTTCGGATTATCAGCTCGGTACGCTATCCACTACACCACCGAGGCCGATGCCATAAAATTCCGTATCGTTGCGGTAATGGTGTTCCCTCAAGAGGAGATCTGACAGCTTTACTACAACGCTGTTAATGGAGGAAGTTTGAACTAAACTATGATGTCATCGTTGCGGATTTTTAGGATGCGCTTTTGAGCCCCTAGCGATTCCTAGAGCAGGAGTGTAGGTAGAGGAAGAGGCACTGAGCTAAAATTATAACTGGAGGTAGCACTGCCATGGCAGAAGTCTGTCAAAAGCGTGACGCTGATTTTGTTAGGTTGGTATAGCAGCAGGTTTTTTCATCCAATAACATGGCTTCATTTTAACTCACCTCACGCAAACATGGCGGCTGGCGACACGCATCTTTGACATTCTGTGCTACCTCCAGTCCAGTTAGAATTATAGCTCAGTGGGAAGAGGAGAGGGAGAGGAGCAAGACGCAGGAGCAGGAGAGAAAAGTAAAAAAGTAAGACGATAGTGGAAGTGAAAGGGAAAGAAGACGAGACCGTGCTACGATGACGGAACAGAATAGTTTACTTTAATCAGAAAGTTTTGTTTTATATACCAAGTGAACCGTCAATTTCATTTTTAAACTAATTTCCAGAAATATAAGTTAGTGATAGGCCTAGAGCTATTCTAAACGGTAGTCTGACATTTTTAGACAAACTTTTGGGATAGTAATAAGTTGTTCTGAAGAAACATCGAAACTGAACAATCATCAGTAACTTAGGCCTAGTCCTACGACTGCTCACTGCTCAGTAGCAATATTCACAATGGATTCCGTAGGGATGAGCTGCATCAAATACCTCCTTTTCTTTTTTAATCTTCTTTTCGCTGTAAGTTGCTACTGATTCTTTTATTTCATTTGCATACCTTATAAGACCTGTTACGAAATTTCAATACTTTACCTAATGTAAATTAAGCTAGCCTAATACTGTAGCCTAAGTTTTAAATTAAGTTAAGTCCAGCCTCAGAGGACTAGGCCTATATTAAACCTAAGGGCGGGTTTTGGAGCTCAGGACTAACGCTAACCTGTACTAAAATCCAGTTCAAACCACTTTTTAATCTAGGACTAAGAAATTGGGTATCGGAGCTTGAGGTATACGCTAGGCCCTAGTCAACTACTAAGTCTATTCCGAGCTACGGTAGTTAAATAGGCCTAGTCCCTTACTTACTTTCATTACTCTTACTTTCGTTGGTTTCAGAGTCACAATTTACTTAAGCCTCAAATTAAGTTTTATTCAATCGGGTTTTGGAGCCAAATAGCCTATTTAGGCTAACTTAATCCGCAACTTGGTAACTTAACAAAGACTAGGCCTACTGGTACCTCGAGGAATAAATATGAGCAAATGTTAGTCCTGATGGAGGGCAGGACTAAGGTGTAGATTAACTCCATTTTTGCTAAAAAGTAGCCTAGGCCTACTCAATTTGTGAAGTTTTCTTAAATGTCAAATTCGTAAGTCTGCATAAAATTTACTAGCAATTGCATACCCCCTACTTACAGGCCCGTTGTTGACCATGTCAGCGCCCTAGGCACAACTAAAATAGTAGCGCCCCTTTGCAATATACCAGGGTGACCACCAACCGGGAAATCCGAGAATTAAGCGTGACTTTTTTTAAACCGGTACATTATTTTTCTTTGCTTTTTATTTATGACTTTTTTTACTTACTTAAGTCATTTTCAAACACAACATTCCTGATTATCCGAGGTATACAGGACCGAGGCTGCCACGGATACTGGAAATCTTGGATGATATGGAGGTCACTTTATTTTAAAGTTAGTCTGTAGCAAGACGACTCTAATAATGTAATACTGTATTTGTATAAAGAATACTTTTAATCAAAGCGAACAGTATATCTAACATAAAACATACCGTAGCCTAACTATATTAGTACCGGTAGGCAATTGTTTTCAAACTCATGTTAAGTAAAATGATTTGGAATCTGGGCCGAAAATAAAAACAAACATTTCAGCCTAGAGCTAACTTGGATAACCTGAAGTCTTGGATAACCGGGGCTCAATTGATTGGGAGGTAAAAAAAAATTAGTTGCTTGGACACCTAGGTACTTATTCTCTATACCAGGCCTATATATTGTACTTCCAGGAATCATTAAAAGATAAAACAATATGGAAACACAAATACATTAAAGCAGATAAATTATTATTACTGAGAGAGCATTAAACCAACAAATTGTTGTAATAACGACAATTTTTTCATAAATAAAAGTTGCTAAAGGTCATCATGTTACTTCTGACCAAGAAATAATTAGGCCTACGGACAATGTTGTCTGGCAGAAGTACTGTGAATTTCTTTACAATTATCTGTGTGAATTATTTTGATAAGTAAATTAAGAGCTTTAGCTGAAATAACGTAATAATCTAAAGATTTTATCAAAGCTTTTTAAGTTAAAAGATTTAATTTTTTATTAAAGTTTGTTTTCCACTTTTTTATGTATGATTTCATATTGTACCAGTATTGGAAAAACTAATTACAAAGTTATGTTCTCAGTTTGTTTAAAAAATTACATGTCAGAGATAAGTTAATGATTATCACGTAAAAAAATTGATAATTTTCTACTTAACTCAGAGCAATTGTCAATAATTATAAATGATTTTAAATATATCCCGGATTTTGAAGTCACGAAGTACCGTAACGCTGGCTGCTAATGGACAATATAAAATGGTGAAAAACCAATTTTGACCCCATAAAATCCCCCATAAACCTCTGTTCCCATAGTCCGATCATGCTGGCAAACTCGTTCGAATAAACGTAGGTTTACACGTTTGTACCAAATTTCATCAAAATCGGATCATTTTTGCTCGAGTTATCGTGCTAACGGACACACATATATTAGTAACCATAATTAGTAACGGGGGTATTGTATATTGTAACTTATAGATTACTTTTAAGTATTTACCTAGTTTCTTCTCTAATCGGCGGTTTCAGACTTAAAAAATTCTTGCTTTTTTATTTATAAAGCCAAAAGTACCCATGAACTTTTGAGAAAACTACAAGTCACACTCCCATAAACCATATACTTTTATATTTTGTTGTGGTGTTTCCGGACCAATTGATTGACAAATAAATAAAAGGTTAAAATACCTGTTTGTCGCCTTGTGGTCCAAGTATTGTTCTAGTGGATTATGTACATTTCGGCGCGAGCGCCATCGTCGGATCCGTATAAGAACTGTTTACACTAAACTTCCCTGAAGAGGTGCGTAAGATGTCCACAACACAAAACACATATAAAAACCGGTCGACCGTTATTTAACATCTTTTTACTTTTGCTACGCGTGCACGGGCAGGATATGGAGGCGCGCCAGACGTGTGTCGAGACTCGACTGAAGACGGTAGTTGGTCGTGATCTGACCTTTGTCCTGGTGACGTAGCTAGTGCAGCATTGTTTCGGCTATTATTCATTTGTATTAAGGTTTCAAAAAGAATGTTGGATTGCAGGGTGTTTTTGTCGTTTAACAGGTTGTTTGTTTCAATTTTAGAGGCTCTGTAAATTTCGAACTGTTCCAATGCCGTCATTGTTCGGCCTTTTTGGCAAATATGTAAAGGCTGCAAATTTGTTGTTATATCAGTATAACTATGGTTACTGGCTACCAAATGGTCGGCGAAATTTGATTTTTGAACGATGGTTTTCTTGGGAAGATGTTCTTTAAACCTCTTTACAAAGGGCCTTCCAGTTTGGCCAATGTAAAACTTATCACAGTCATTACAGGTTATTTTATAAACTCCTGTTTTTTGACAAAAGTCCTGTGGTGTATTTTTTACGGAAAGGAGATTTTGGAGTTTGTTCGATGTTTTGAAGGCTACAATTTTGCCATGCTTCTTCATCTGGTTTTCAGTGTATGGGAGAGGTTGGTTCCAAATTCAACTGATACATACTCCATTCGCTCTTTATTGTTATCAGTGCTAGTAATGGCTTTTTTCTTGATTATCTGTTTATTGGTTAAACTATCGATCAATTTAGGGCTGTATCCATTTGAGACGGCGATGTATTTAATTATGTTTATTTCTTTTTCATAATCATCGGGGTTTAGGGGGACGGTGAGCATTCTATGAATGAAACTATTGTATGCTGCTATCTTGTGTTGGAAGGGGTGATGGGAAGTTTCATGAATGGTGGTATCAGTGGCTGTAGGTTTCCTGTAGATGCTGAATACAATCTTATCTTTTGTTTTTGTTAGTGTTAGGTCTAAGAAATTGAGTTTTTCGTTTTCTTCAAATTCTATTGTAAATTTTAGTTGTGGATGAATGTTGTTTAAATAATTGTTAAAAAGCTGGATTTGTCTATTGTTGCCATTATACATGATGATGATATCGTCAACGTATCTATGGTAGAAAATGATACGGTCCTTGTATTTGTTGGTATTGTCTGTCCATAAATGCTGGTTCTCCATTTCATTCAGGAATATTTCTGCTAATATTCCTGATAAAGGTGACCCCATGGCGAGCCCTTCTTTCTGTGTAAAATATTCATTATTGAAACTGAAATAATTTTGTTGGAGTACTGTTCTCAGTAAAAGCATCAATTCATTTATTTCATCTTGGTTCAAATTAGAATTTTCGGTCAGATTTTTCTGTAGTATTTTTAGAGTTTCTAGGACGGGTACATTAGTATATAGGCTGGAGATATCTAAAGAGGCAAGAGTGTGTCTGTCATTAGGTTTTATGTCTTTGATTTTATTTACTAGATCCATACTATTTTTTAGGCTGTGGCTATTATTGAATGTGACATTCATTTTTACAATTTTCTCTAATCTTTTAGCTAGTTTGTAAGCGGGGGCCGGCATGTAGTTTACTAATGGTCTCATAGGCTGTCCGTTTTTATGTAATTTAGGCATTTTTTCTTCAAAACATCGAACAAACTCCAAAATCTCCTTTCCGTAAAAAATACACCACAGGACTTTTGTCAAAAAACAGGAGTTTATAAAATAACCTGTAATGACTGTGATAAGTTTTACATTGGCCAAACTGGAAGGCCCTTTGTAAAGAGGTTTAAAGAACATCTTCCCAAGAAAACCATCGTTCAAAAATCAAATTTCGCCGACCATTTGGTAGCCAGTAACCATAGTTATACTGATATAACAACAAATTTGCAGCCTTTACATATTTGCCAAAAAGGCCGAACAATGACGGCATTGGAACAGTTCGAAATTTACAGAGCCTCTAAAATTGAAACAAACAACCTGTTAAACGACAAAAACACCCTGCAATCCAACATTCTTTTTGAAACCTTAATACAAATGAATAATAGCCGAAACAATGCTGCACTAGCTACGTCACCAGGACAAAGGTCAGATCACGACCAACTACCGTCTTCAGTCGAGTCTCGACACACGTCTGGCGCGCCTCCATATCCTGCCCGTGCACGCGTAGCAAAAGTAAAAAGATGTTAAATAACGGTCGACCGGTTTTTATATGTGTTTTGTGTTGTGGACATCTTACGCACCTCTTCAGGGAAGTTTAGTGTAAACAGTTCTTATACGGATCCGACGATGGCGCTCGCGCCGAAATGTACATAATCCACTAGAACAATACTTGGACCACAAGGCGACAAACAGGTATTTTAACCTTTTATTTATTTGTCATATACTTTTAACCATATACAGGGACACTCTAGGGGAACGTAACTTTCCGCAGTGTGAGGGCAACGGCTGGGCGCACTCCACCAGCCAATCCCTGTCTCTGAGACCGGAAGGTATAGTTATCTTGAGTGTGGGGGGTTCTCCCTGGAACCTCAATTGGACAAAGGGTGTCGCCACCTTTGGTGGATAGGTTCATCCGGGTGGGACCCACTTCTATTCCTGCCTCTTTTTGGGAAACCCTAATGGCCTGGCAGTGATGTTGGGCTTGATGGGCAAACGAAGTAGATCGGGTGCTGGGTTCAAGCCCGCTGGGGGTGTTCAGGGATCTATCGCCTTGGTCACCTCTGGTTTCCCAGCAACTGGGTAAGGCCTCGATCGGGTAGTGGTGTAAATAGGTGGTTGGGGTTCCCCCCATCAGCTTGCTGGTGGTCCCCTTCTTCCTGGCTTTGATGGCGGGTTCTGCCTGTCAGGGATTGGATAGGTCCCGATAGTTGCTTGCACTAAATGCGTCAGGGCATTCCATTATGGTCCTTCTGGGTTTCGTACCTGGGGGAACCCAGGTGGAGTGACGCTTAAACAAGTAGCCGGTATCCCTGGTTAGGATTGAGGGGCAACCCTCTCTCCGAAGGGTTGCTTCGGCAGCCGGTGAGCCTGACGACCTTAAGTCATCCTCCCATGGTGTGCCAAAGGTCGGTGCGTATGCTTCGGCCTACATCATGGGGCCCGGGTATGTTAAATTACAGGGTTTGCAGTCAGGGAGCTTCTGGCTCTTGGTGACAAACGAAAAATGGAAAAAAAATGTCCCCCTGAATACGGCCCGCGGGAGATGTTCACGAGTTTACTGTGGTCACGGGTGACGGTGATGATGCCCTCAAGGTCACAGCTCACGGTGTGATCTAGATTTCGCCGCGGTCGTGAGTGTCGAGGATGATGTCCCATGTTGCAGCCAGCGGGGGATGTTAGTGATTTTGCTGCAGTCACGGTCACGGATACCTATGATGGCTTTGACTTGGTTTAGGATAAATGTCCATGATTTCAGCCACGATCACGTGTGTCGATGATGATGTCTCTTTGATGCATAGGAGATATTCACGATTACTTCCGCGATCACAAGGAATTTCCACCACAGGGGGATGGCCGCTCAAGTAATTTGGCCTAGGGCCGCAAGTACCCTAAATCCGGCACTGGTCAAGTACTTCCAAGAACTATTAGCTTAGCTCATAAAAGTTGTATCACCTTTATTCCTTTACTAGCTGGCCCGACAGACGTCGTCCTTTCCCAATGCTCGTTCATCTTCAAGATGAGCTCGTTCGCATGGCTCAATCACGTCCTTGTTGAAGTTTGTTTGCTACACTTACTCACCTTTAGGTTGGAGCTGGTTTGCTGCGCTCACTTACCTTCAGGTTAGCTCGTTTGCTACGCTAACTCGCCTCCAGGTTGAAGTTCGTTCGCTACGCTCACTCTTTTTGGTTGCAAATTAGCTGTTGTCATAAATTTAAAAAAATAATAGCGCTGCACCCTGTTGGTAAACCTATTAACTTTTAATGCTATTGAACATCACAGAATCAAATTGTTTAGTTGAACCAGCTGTTAAGATTCTTTAATTCCATTTAAATATGAGTACTTATAAGGTTAACATGAGAAACTCCAGAGCCACTGGGGCAACAGGGAGCCCTTTTGACAGATCTGCACCAAACTTCACATAAACCATCCTTGAATAATGTTTTAGTGATGCCTGAAAGTTTCATTACAATCTGTCAAGCGGTTTCGGAGTCCATAAAGGACAAACAAACATACATTGGATTTTATATATATACTAGCTGACCCGGCGAACTTTGTATCGCCTAAGTTATAGGTTTCCCCTAAGACAGACCGATGGAAAGAAAGTACCGTTACGTTTAATTTTCAAGATGATCTCGTTCGCATCGCTCAATCACGTCCTGGTTGAAGTTCGTTCGCTACGCTCACTCACCTTTGGGTTGGAGCTCGTTCGCTACGCTCACTCACCTTTAGGTTGGAGCTCGTTCGCTGCGCTCACTTGTTCCGGAGGAGTTTGCAGACAAACACTGTGACACGAGAATTTTATATATTAGATATATATAGATAAGATAAGAAGACAACTTCCATTATTTATTACTAGGGTAATTATTATGAGATCCCAAACATATTTTATCATGGAAATAATAGTTATATAATGTCCGTTAAATTTCACTTCTTACTTGTCTTTCATCTTGAACTTTCATTCTGCCGCTGGCCATTGCCTACTGCCATTAAACTGTGTATGGTTTCATATTAAACTTATAACTAATCTACAGTCGTAGTTTGTAAGCTAAAATCTTTTTTGTGGCTATTACTTTCAGTTGACAAAACCACAAGCATTGTTGTGTTTGCATTAATTTTTTTATCATTAGGCAGGCCTACTTGGTCTCAAATCATGTTGTTGCATTTTCTGTATCTTTGTCTTATATTGTTGGCTGTTCAGGTTTCAATGTTTTTTGATTCCCATATTTATTTATTGTGTTGTACTTTAAGCAATCTAAATCTTATGAACTAGAATGATAATAGTGACTTTGATACTATTATAACCTCATTGTTTGTTACTCAGTTTATATAGGCCCTCCTAAATAATTATGTCTAGGCATAACATACCTGAAAAATACAAAATTTAATTGAACCCAAGATAATTAATGATTGATGTGTGTTGTGTGTCGATGTTAACTTTGCAAATGATAAGACTGTAATCTTACTATGTGCTTACTGGTTGCCACTTACCATACCGATTTTGTACCGAGAACTGAGATACAATATATGTATTAAACATTTTTTTCAAAAGTAGTCAAGAAAAGTGGCCTAACTAATCCGCCTAGATCTGATATAATATGATTATGTTTCCGTGACCGATAGAGATATTCAGGATTTTGTCGCTATCACGGAAGACGGATGATTGGGTTTCTCTGTTACACTATAGGCCTAAAGCTTTAGCCAAAATAAATGATTGTCTCATTTTAATAAATTTCTATTTTGAAATTTAACTCTCGTCTATTATTACTTACTTTTATCTCTGGTACAACTACAGTGAAGAACAAGATTAATAGAGTTTGATAAATCAGGAAAATATCTTCGGTAATCACACCGACAAAGGTTATGACAAAGTGTCCTTAAATGTACGGGAATTGTTCATGAATGTTTTATCCAGAATGTAGTAGACACCCTGGGTTGTCTACATAAACAATCAAAATTTACTGAATTTTACTCTCTAGGGACTATATAGGGTCTTTACTCCCTAGGGAGTAAAAGAGCTACTTTAGACCCGCAACGCGTTTATGAAAGCGGCAACAATTATTTTTCATATAGTTTCATATATTGTAAGGGATGGCGCCTCCATTCTCTTTGATACATGCAATTAACAATTTCAACAAAATCAGTAAATGTACGGTACCCAATGCGTTTCATTGAATTGAAAAATAAATAACAGCAATTAAATTATACAGCTGATCAAAATGAAAACAATTATGTTCTTCATAATAACTTCGTAAGAGGCTAAAATAGTATATTTCATTACCAGGATCTAAAGTGACCATTTTTGACCCGAGGACAATTTTTACGATCGAGGCCAAGCCGAGGTCAGAAAATGAGCGAGGGTTAATTTCTTTTTGCCCGTGTGGTGAATTATATTTTTTGTCATATTGCATCATTAATTAACAAACTAGCCAGAAAACTAAATTTTAAATAAAGATAACCTCCCCAAATGACTTCCAGCTTGTTTTTAATTCAGATAGGCTAATGCAAATAAGCAGCTGTTTATTAAGCGATTCAATCATTTCGTCTATTACGATTGTGTCACAGTACCTACATTATACCATCGATATTTCGAGCACTCTACAACAATTAGGCTAACACCTTACCTAATAAATCAATCGATAAATAATTTTGATTGATACGATTGCCACAATTGAAATTCACAACTGTTTAAAACTGCTAATTTTTACTCCTTAGAAACAAAAAAAGATTTATACTCCCTAGGGAGTAAAAATTCTACTTTAGACCTGCAACACATGCATTAAAACGGCTGTTTTTGCTGTAGTATGAAGAAAAGGTTTTTTACTCCCTAGGGAGTAAAAAAAGTAAAAGACCTACTTAAGAACAGTAACATATGTACATATTAAAAACAGCTGTTTTTGCTTTAGTATGAGTAAAAATATATATTTACAGAATCAAGAAGCAAAATGTTATTTATCTAAAAGAGGGATAAATGTGTTGGACCCATCCCTACAAACTGTTTAATCTGGTATAATCTCACTGATTGTTGTTACACTTCTTAATTAATTAATTATTAATTTAAGACAGTAAAATATCATTGTCAATTATAGATATCTGGCATCATCATCTTCACTGTTGGAATCATAATACAGAAAATGTACTACAACTACTCCCAATTCATCGATGACAAGTTTTTCTCAGCTCCAATGGTTCTAATAGTGGTGGGAGTGCTAGTCTTTGTGGTAGCTTTTTTTGGCTGTTGTGGAGCCATACAGGAAAGCAACTTTATGCTTATCACGGTAAGTTAGATATGGATCTATTTTTTATGGGGTTTTTAATAATAGCCTATCAAATTAATGTAGAGTAGTGTACCTGTTGCTCGAATTCGAGCAATTGCAAAGTATTACAGGCGTTATTTTAAAACAAATAACAGTAATAATTTCGGATGATTGACTCAAAGATTATCAAAATAGTCACGATGTACATAATAGTTTGATATAATCAACATTTGTTGTAAATATCTTATCATTTTCAAAAGCTGATCTTGTTTTTTAGTGTCTTCTACAAATGTTTCCCACTCATAGCCGCATAAATAGTCCATAGTAACGATTATTTATTCTGAAAAAAACATTATTTCTCTTTCATCTACTTGATGGTGTTCTATGACTTTCCTATGTTTCCATAGTTTGCAAATAGGCTCTTTCAATGATCGCTCAAGAAATGCAGCACAGTTTTAATTCTGAATAATGAAATAAATGAATGAAATAATATGTTTATTTTCCACATAATGTACAGAATACAAAATACATACTTCTTAACGTTACAATTAAGTTCTGTTTTCTGTTTTAATTCTGTTTTCTTTTAGTAGCCTATATCAAATTGTCTAGGCTTTCTCACTTTTTTCCATTGTAATATTTACCCCAACCCAACCCGAATTCAAATAGTAAATATTTCATTTCAACCAAGTCAGTAAATAATTGAAAAAAAAATATTAGGTAACAGCAATCAAAATATCCAGCAGATCATAATATAAACAAATATGTTCTTCATAAGGATAACATGGGATCTTTAAAAAGCCACTGGGGCAGAGTCAAAGGGACTTAAAAAAAACGTAAGGTCAGTTTGCAAATCTACACACCTAGGCGAACATTTTGGTATATAATATGTGGGGTTAAATCTTAAATATTAAAGCCTTATAGTCCAGTCAATAAAGGGATTGTAGAGGACATGGAGGGGGAAATTTTTTTTGCGGGAATGTGTTCGGGGTAGTTAGAAGATAAAAATACCAAAAGTCCCCGCTCCTGGCCCTGCTGCTTCAGCGGGGGGAGGGGGAGGGGAAAGACAATTTTTTTAGTTTTTTACTTCTACACTGAAAACCGTTCATTGTACGGAAAAAATGTAAATTATAAAAAGAAAGAAGATGATAAAATCCCCTACAAGAAAGGTGCTATTCATTTTTCTGTTTATGCATTAGTTTCCAAGATATTCTCAAAATAATAAATTCTGTTAAAAATTTATTTTCCACACGTTTTTTGTCGAATAAGTTCATATAATCTATTAGCCTGTTGTTGTTTTACATTAATCAGGATAGAACAAAGGTTTTAAAGTACTAACCTATATAATACAGGGCGTTTATAAAAGAATCATCAGGTTTTAATGGCATGTACCTCACTCAATTCTTGTCCCACATTAATATTTGAAACATGGGCTTAAAAAGCAAGTTTCCAAATTTTATAATCAGCTATTCATTAATCAGTCTTGGGTTTTTCTTGGACGTGTTTGCATAATTTAAAAATTATTACGATTCAAGAAAAAACATTTTGACGATAATGACTTGACCCTTTCCAAATGGACCCTTACATCTCCTGATCTTACGGTGTGTGGTTTTTTCTATGGGACTATGTAAAAAACAAACTTTATGTACCGAAAATGCCTTAAACGCTTCAAGGGCTCCATGGACGAATTCGCAATGTCGTAGAATCAATCAACCTTGCGGTGCTAGCCGGTGTAAGGGTCAATTTACAACATGGATTGGAAATTTGCTCCACGGCTAATGGACGGCACATTGAGCACTTATGGGGGTATCTATGAATAATTTAAGAGTTCTACTTTCTGTTGATATATTTTATATCCATATTTGTTTAACATTAACGTCAATAAAATGTTTTAAAACCTGATGATTCTTTTATAAACGCCCTGTATAATATATCAATTGTATATACTGTGTTTAAAATAGTTCATATGAATTTAAATAAGTCGTGAATATTTGTCATGGAAACAAATAATTTTAGCATAATTATTATAGGCTACTTAAGTGAAAAATTATTTTTGTAGCTATATTTGTGCAGTATTATTTTTGACAATTAGATACCAAAACCAAGACCTAATACCATTGTTTATGGTCACTTGGGACGAGAGAGCCCGACATCTGTCCCAAAAACTGGTGCCATCTGGAACTGAGAACCACCATCTAGGGCATCTCCATCATCCAATTCTTGTTGATTAGACTCAATATTGGCTATCGATGTGAGAGTGCGGTGTAGGCCTATATATTTTTCATCTTCCTCATTCATCAGAATGGGCATTCCATATAAACAGTTCCCTTAGCAGTTCTGGCATAATGGAGAACAATTGGACATTTTCTTGCATGCACAAATTGCACATCTGGCACTGTTACAATCATTAGTACATTTGCAAAAAACTTGGTTAGGGATTAACTGTTTCTGGTTTACTATAATTTCGGTGACTGTTCAAATGAATATCTACTGACTAGTGGCGGTCCCTGGGGAGGAAGGGAGGTATATATCCCCTCCGAAATATCTTTTTAGCTAACATAGATACTATTAGCTTGAAAATATTTTAGAGGTTAAATACATATAAAAATACGTTAATATGCTTTAAATTCCCCATTTTATGCGAGAACTGCTAAGGGAACCGTTTAAATGAATGCCAATTATGATAAATGAGGAAGATGAAGAATATATACACAACACTCTCACATCGATAGCAGATATTGAGTCTAATGAACAAGAATTGGATTATGGAGATGCCCTCGATGGCGATTCTCGGATCCAGATGGTCCCTTTCGCTGCGCTCACTTGCCTTCAGGTTAGCTCGTTCGCTACGCTAACTCGCCTCCAGGTTGAAGTTCGTTCGCTACGCTCACTCACCTTTTGGTTGGAAATTAGCTGTTGTCATAAACTAAAAAAAAATAATAGTGCTGCACCCTGTTGGTAATCCTTGTAACTTTTATGCTATTGAACATCATAGAACAGAACCAACTTGTTTAATTGAATCCTAATCCGTCCAGTGGTTTATGCGTGATTGAACTTCAAACACACAAACAAACACACAAACTTTCACATTTATAATATTAGTAAGATCATAAGATTAACATGGGGAACTACAGAGCCACTGGGGCGGAGCCCGAAAGGGTTTTTGAGATAAGAATATGCTTTAATGTTAATCGGGAATGTGAGCTATCATCATGCCAAATTTCAGCCCAATCCGTCCAGTAGTTTATGCATGATTGAGCAACAAACACACACACAAACTCACAAACTTTCAGATATATAATATTAGTAAGATATAGGTTAGTGCTCTAAAACCTTCTGTTCTATCCTGATTAATGTAAAACAACAACGGGCTAATGGATTATATGAACTTATTCAACAAAAAACGTGTGAAAAATAAATTTTTAAAATAATTTCTATATTATTTTGAGAATATCTTGGAAACTAATGCATATACAGAAAAATGAATAGCACCTTTCTTGTAGGGAATTTATCATCTTTCTTTTTATAATTTACATCTTTTTCCGTACGATGCACGGTTTTCAGTGTAGAAGTAAAAAAATAGAAAAAGGGTATTTCCCCCCCTCCGGGCTGAAGCAGCAGGGCCAGGGGCGGGGACTTTTGGTATTTTTATCTTCTAACTACCCTGAACACATTCCCACAGAAAAAATATTTCCCCCTCTCCATGTCCTCTACACCCCTCTTTTGAGCATTCATTGACTGGACTATTATTGTTGTTGTATAAGTTTCATGTAGCGTATTAAAATAATATAGATGTGTTCAGAAAAAAATTGTAATCTTTACCGGTATTGTTTCAAAATGTATGCAACACATTTTTTATCAACTGAATGGCTCCTTTGCCTTCCTTTTAGACAAATTTCTTAGATTAATTGGTAACTGTATTGAAACCATAAAAATTGTTTCAATGTAAATACAAAGCCACCACATGCTTCACGTCTTGTGAACAGTGCTTCAATACTCTCAACGCGCGTCCTAGAAACACAGCAATCAAATGAGTGCGTACACATGCAGCGCCAGTGCTTCGGCCAACGCGCGTCTCAGAGGTTCATCATGCAACGCCTGCTAGCAGCGCGCCTCGAGTTACGAAGGTTCTAATGGGACCGTACACATGTGAGCATTGTAACGCGCGTTTTGGAGTAGAGGGGAGTAGGTTTTATGTATGTTTATGAGTATTTCTATATACAATACCTTATGGTAATTGCGATGTTCTCTTCTGTTGAAATCCAATCCCTAACAATGCTCTCACAAGGTGTTAGACATAGTTTAACTTTGGTTAAATGAAACAATTAGCATGCTTTAGTATTTAAAAGCTGACATTCATATCCTCAATTAGGTTACAAAGTAAAAAAGAAAAAACATACGAGCTAAACTTTCTTGTAAAAAGTGTTTTAGGTAATTTTCCCCGACACAAATACCCGGGACCGCTTTACTTTTTTCATTTTGATGTCCACAAAGGCAAAAACATCATTAGTTTAATATTTTTCAATTGAAATATTAAATTAAGCTGCAAGGAGGGTATTTTGATTTTGTTTTCTTTCTTTATATCTATAGTTCAACTCCCTTACAAAAAAGCTAGTAAAAACTACCTTTTTGATTTTTATGGCTATGCCGAGTCATGCCATGAGACAAAAATTGCTCAAACGCGCGTTGCAACGCAGTCATGTGTACGCAAAGGCTTATCTGAAGCGCGTTGCAACGCTCCCATGTGTACGTAGCCTAAATCATGATATTAAGTTATACTTTTAATACTTTGTTAAACTGATACAACTTTTAAGCTGTCACAAAATACAAAAACCCATACCCCACCAATGCAGACTTTGTTACTAATTTGAACGGCTGTTAACAAAATTTAAAAAAGGAAAAACCAATAGTTATTTGTGTAACTAGTGGTGAAAGTGGCACTTTGCTGCACACAAGAGCAATGTTTACGCATGAGACGCAGGCGAGTGCGGAAGGATCTCGAGTGCAGCAAAGGACTTTTTCACTCGTGTTACACATTATATTTTTCCTACAGTCACTATAAAGCATATAAATAATTAGTCTTTCAAACACTATACAACACGTTTTTAGGTTCAGCTGGCAACACAAATGGTGCCCTAGAGAAAGTAGTACCTGCGGTCCGTATCACTCCGCTATTTTTCCTCGGCAAGAAATGTGCTCCACGTTTTGAGAATATAGTTCCGTATGTTTTTGTAATTTGAAGTGGTTTCCACGCCTAAAAAAAATGCTTTAAAGGTATTTTCTTGTTTATTAAGATCGTAGGAATGTTTTAAAAACATTTAAAAGAAAAGTCCAGAAAGTTCAGAAATACCGAAACTATAACACGAAATGACAGGTTAAATCGTAGTTATAATAGTCAATCAGCTGCTCATAGTATTATTATCTTCAATTGTTGCCAACCTATTTCTAAGCACACACGGATTACGTGCATAATAGAACCACGCTGTTTTGTGTTGTTTCGTTGGAATCCTGATGTGCGGCAAAGTATAAACCGTACGGCAAAGTATAAATATGCAGCAATTAGCAGCTTTCTGTACTATAAACAGTACAAGGAAGCCAACTTTGTCGGGTGACTGTAGAAAAAATGTTTTTAGGAAACTATTTCTCCTTAGATTAAGGGACCCCACTGTCTACTTGGCTACATTGTTGTTGTGCATTTTCAGTTTGCCATACTGCTGTTTGTTATCTTCCTCACTGAGGTAGCAGGAGGTGTTGCTGGCTACGTCATGCAGAAGGACATTGATTTGATGTTACACCAGCGCATGGGCAAGTCTATGGAGGAGTATGGCAAGAATATGGAGATCACTAACTCTTGGAACGTTTTGCAGTATGATGTAATTAAAACCCAGTACTACAGATTAATAGTTACTCCTTATATATTCTGTACAGTATCACAACTTTACAAAACCAGCTAAAACAAATTAATCACACTAATTATGTATAATGCTAGACATCACCACGTGTTGTTGGAATTTGTATTTTTAGAAACCTTATGCTTGGAATTTAGATTTTCTGTATAAAATTTGTTTTCTTCTTGGGCTTTAATAAATACTGGGTGCTTTGAAATGAATTATCAGATTTTATATGTATACTACTTGTAACCAATTAATTGACTATACTAGGGGACTGTACGGCGTGGACGTGTTGGACATGGGCAGTTCATATGGCTTTTAGCAGCAGCCGTCATTTGTATTTGTATTGTACGTTTCCTAAATTTTTTAAAGTCACATCGCAAATAGGCTCCTCCCTCATTTGCAGACTCTCGTGGCCCCTTGAAGTATTTATATGGTTATATTATTTATATGGTATGGGGTGAAGCAAATAAAGAAGTTTCACTGTCATATCAACTGATCACCTGTTAATATCTTAAAACACAAAATTTTGATATTTTCATTACAGTCTTGTAATTAGAACAATGGAAAATTCTCAAATAAAACCATTTTATTTTTTGCTTTTAGACAAATTTATAAGAGTGACTTTGCAGACTCTTTCTGTGATCGTGAAAACATAAGTTTAACTTATTAAGTTTCCCCGGAAAGTTGTAATTCTAACAGATTATCGGCAAAATTTATTTTCCAAGAGAAATAACATACTTTTGAGGCCTCTTCCCAGGCCCTCGGCAATCGCTGTGTCTGCCATTAGGAGAATAGAGCCCTGATAAGGCCAACCAGTTCTGACACAAATTGGGTCGGGGGCTCTTCAGGTGTAGGAGCAGCCTCAGTTGGGCAAAGCTTATTCCAAGCTTTCTTCAGTGTGGTCTCCTTGACGCAGTCCCAAGCTTCTGCAGCCATATAAACAGCATCCTTCATGTTTATTGCTTTATAGAGCTGAAGAATGGGTTTGTCTTCTTCTTGCCCAAGCAGAACCATCCGTAACAATGCTTTTCTGTAGTAACGTTTAAAGCTTTCAATTACCCCTTGGTCCATCGGTTGGAGAACTGAGGTTACATTTGGAGGCAAAAAAAACCACCTTGAACTTGCCATTTTCTCTGTCGAGGTCCATCGAGGAAGGATGACTTGGAGCATTATCGATAATTAGCAAAACATTTCCAGAGCTCCCAGTTGCGATGTGTTGCTTTTTATCTTCCGGTATAAATACGGTATCATACCATTCAACAAAAATGCTTGTGTCCATCCATGAGTTCTTTTGGTTTTTGTAGGTGAGTGGTAATTTTACAATTCCCTTAAAGCACCTCGGGTTCTTAGATTTCCCTATGATAAGCAAGGGTAGCCATCCACGAGCTACCCACGAGCTACCACGAGGTAGCCATGTACGAGTTCCAGTTTAATTAGCGCACACCATTGCAGTGATGCGGGCCTTGCTTGCCTTAAAACCAGGAGCTGACATCTCTTTCTTAGAAACTAAGGACTTTGTTGGCATTTTCTTCCAATATAGGCCTGTTTCGTCTGCATTATAGACATTGTTATCATCGTAGCCTTCCTCACTGAGCAAACTTGCAAACAAATCTTTGAATTTTTCTCCTGCTTCAGTGTCAGCAGACAGCTATTCCCCTTGAATATCCAACTCCCTAATACCATGTCTAGATTTAAAACGTTTCAACCAGCCGGTTGATGCCTTAAAGTCAGCGTTACCACCAAGTTTCGCATTCATTTCTAGGACTTTTTCACAAAGCAAAGGGCCACTTATTGGTTGACCTTGTCCACGTACCTGCATAAACCAAAAGTACACTACGGTGTCCAAGTCTTGGTTTTCCGCCATTTTCATGGTTTTTCTATGTAGGCTCCCATCTTCACTGTCGAGTACACACGCAAATTTTGTGATAGATTCACTTTTCTTTTTAATGTCAGATATCGTCGCATTTCCAACTCCATATTCCCGAGCTAAACTCGATCCACTAGCACCTCTTTTTAACTGCTCCAATATCTTAAGTTTATCAGAAACACTAAGCACTACACGTTTACGTTTGGACGACATAGTCAGTGTAGAATGAAACAGCACAATAGAAACCCGTACGAACTGTCGCTGTCGAATGCTCACAGGCGACTGAGACTTGAGACGGAGACAAAGTCAGTGGGAGTAGGAGTGGTGCGCACGGCCATAGTGCACGACAATTTCGTCACGTAGGCCCACCCTGCCTCCCGCCTAGCAGCCGTGCGGTGGCGTAGCGCTACGGCCAGCCGTGATTGGCGCGCGACTTTATTGATTTTTGCTTCTTTCTTCCTTTCGGATGACCGAGCTTCGGATAATAACGTTCTACTGTAGTGCACACTTCAAAGGTTACTTCAAATACAAATTTAAGCAATAGGTAGCTTCTTCCACACTGTATCATAAAAGAAATTTTTTTTAAACTGTTCTTGAATTTAAAGTTTTTATATTAATAACACCCTTTATAAAAAACTGGTGATATCTTTATAGTTTTCAGATATAGTTTCCAATTACAAATCACAGTATAAATTGACTGTTAAAACCACTCAGAAGTAGTTAAAGTTCAGGATATTTTGATTATGTTTATGTATAGCCTACTTATACTTTGGCAGGAGCCCCTATTAACGCTGAAGGATTAAGCAACCAGTACTATAAATAATCATAACAAATTAAACATAAGTATTTACATTGTAAAACAACGTATAGTTTAGTTAATGATGTTCAAAGATTGTTATGCAACAATTAATATTGTTTGCAATGTAAGTGTAAACAAGAGGCTGAGTCAGACCAAGGCGTCACTAGAAAAAACAGGCCATGCTGCAGCACGGGCAGCGCAACACTACGTCACAGTGGTAGATAGTTGTACTAAAATATTACCATTAAAATCTTACAAACAGCCAGCTTGTTTATTTACCTAAAACATATGGGAATGGTGATAGCAATAAATTGATCAATGAAATCCATCCACTAGTGTGACGTCATGAATCCTGTAGCATGGCCTTGTTTTTCTAGTGGGGCCTTGGTCAGACACTAGTAGATAGGTATCTCAAAACTGACATCTCAGTGACCAGTAGGTCTATCTTTGTGTATGTAACTGTTTGAAACTGTTCTATTTCTTATACAAGAATATAATTCACACATCTTGCTTCAACAAACTCTATTTCCAAACTAAACCAATGTTTACAAAAACATGTTTACAAAAGTCATCTGACAACAAAACATATTTAAACACAATCATATGATAAAAAGAACAGACTTAATACAACATCCCGCCTCAAGATGTCCACATCTTTATGAACCTCAGTACTGCCTCGGTTTCTTAATGGACCTTCCGTAACGGGTTACTGTGCAGCTCCTGGACGATCACGTGAGTTTCATGGACGATTAAGGACCATGGATTAACAGTTTGAAAGAATACCATCTTCTCCGTAGTACGGTGCAGGAACTAAGAACTTCCTGTTTCGGCGAGTGGTTCTCTTGTCAGTTTCCACAAGGTAGGAACGTGGTTCGTTCAATTTCCTGACTACCTTACCGTGTCGACGTAGATCTGTGATCCATACCATGCTTCCAACTTCTAATTCACTTAAACCACTCGCTCCATGTCGTTTATCAAATTGTATCTTGTACTTATTCTGGTACTTATTCTCCCTCTCAAGAAAATTCTTGTTTTCCACAGGATTTCCAACCAAAGTAGATGGAAGATTGTCTCTTAATTTCCTTCCTAACATAAGTTCAGATGGGAAAAGCCGGTTTCAAGAGGTGAGGTCCGGTAAGAAAGTAGGGCAAGTTCAAATTTATCCTTGTTTTTCTTCATTAGCCCTTTTGCTACTTTCACAGCTGCTTCAGCTGCCCCATTTCCCTGATGGTGGTGGGGACTACTTCTGAATGTGGAGAACCCCCACTCCTTTGCAAACAATTTAAATTCACTTGAGTAAATATGGTGAAATTGTGTCCCACTATCTAAATAAAAACACGTTGAGGAATTCCAAAACGTGAAAATGTGGTTTTGCAAACCCGAATCACATCTGAAGCCCTCATTCGATGCATTTCCTCGACTTCAAAGTATCTTGAGTAGTGATCCACGATAACCATATACCACTTGTCTTCATGTTTAAACAAGTCAACAGACACATTTTGCCACGGGTAATCCGGGACAGTTCTCGGAATCAACGGTTCACTGTGATTAGTTGAGTTCTGAATACAAACTGGACACGATTTGATTTTCCTTTCTATTTCTTGAGAAATTCCAGGCCACCACATGATTCCCAAAGCACGTTTCCTTGTTTTTGTGATTCCCAAGTGTCCACTGTGAAGCCTCTCGAGCATTTCCGCTCGTAGATCCTGAGGTATTATCATCCGAGTTCCTCGAAGCAATAACCCATCAATACAATACAACTTAACTCGTCTTTCACGTTAAAGTACTCTTGAATCTCATTAGGTAAACTTGATTTTACAGGCCATTCGTCTAAAATTTGTAACTTAAGTTGTGCACAGATTGGATCTCTCATTTGTGAGTGAAGTACCTTTGTCACATTTTCGTCTGTAGTGTTTATACTAATCAGACTGATTTCGTGGACGAAGGCTTCCACTTCTTTGGTCAATTCGCCATCTTCATTAGCCAGAATAGGACTTCTTGATAGTAGATCTGCTATGGCAAGGTCTTTTCCTGGGGTCCAGGTCATGCAATAATCGTATCTCATCATACGCATTCGGAATCGCTGTAGCCTCAGTGAGAGCTCGTCCAAATTTTGTGTTTTGAAAATTGAGACAAGCGGTTTGTGGTTGGTCTCAATTGTGTACATTTTACTAGGGATGGACGGGATTGAATTTTTAGTTCGGGACGGGACGGGACGGGATTTTTATTTCCTTCCCGATTTTCGGGACGGGACGGGACGGGATTTTTTTCTGTGCATAAAAAGAAAGTCTTGAGTATTGCAGTTACCAAAAA